TTACTAGAATCCCACCACTCCACCACAGAGTCACCGCAGTAGACGTTAGATGAGCGCTGTTGCTCCGCGGCACTTGTTGTAGAAAAAAAGCATTCCTGAAGGTTAGCGCACAACGAGAAAGTACGCTCATTTTACTGATGTACATTACGTATTTCTTTATACGTCTATTATTACACGTAAGTGTTAATTCTCTTGACTTGCATTATCAAACCAAACACATGAACACACATTGCGATAAAGGCAACACTAGCGTGAAGTGTAATTGAAAACATCAATATCAACACAATACATGTACACGCGACCACAGCGATGCAATAGAAACATGCAGTTACTATAAGTCGAAAAAAAAGTTGACTTCCACGAATTTGTAAATCCGCATAAAGCCTAGGACACACTGCGCGATTTTCTACGCTGGCCACTTGCGATCGATAAATACGGTGCTGGGTCCGTGCGGTGTGTCCGGTCTCACGGCAGCGTATTTCGCTCGCGATCGCATACGCCCGGTGCATCGCTCGTATTCAACATGTTGAATATTTCCGCCCGGTATTTTGACCTGGCACCGTATTTATCGATCGGCGGATCGCAAGCGGCCAGCGTAGAAAATTGCACAGTGTGTCCTAGGCTTAAGTCAAAGCTTTTTCTCCAGTCCTATTTGGATTCGACTTAGGCGAGGTCGACTGTATCATATAATACAGTATTTTTTTAAAATAGACCTACGTTATTCTAAAACCTATGTAACAGTGTTGTACATTCTTATGTTACGTGTAGCTTAGATTTACTGTCTCGAAGCTGTAAAGTAACAAAAAGAAATACACAAAAATGAAATAAAGTCATTTCATGAATTTTTGCAAATTTTATTAAATTGAAAAAATAACAATTTTTGGCTCACCTTGACATTGTCAAGCTGAGCTATTGCAGGGTTCTTGTTAATAGCCGGTAACCGGTTATTTTTACCGCCTATCGCGCAATTTGTTACCGGCTATCAATTTGAGAGAAACTCCTACTAAAGGCGGTAAAATATTTAATCCATATTTGAAAAAACGAGGTTTATTTTAAATACTTCCAACCCAAGACTAACTCTGTGCACGGGCGGGTCGCCGGCGAGTTTGTTTACCCTCGTGCGGACACACAGACAAGCGGAAGTTTTATTATATTATAATGTGGACTCAGATTATAAAAACGCAGTGATAATTGAATTCTCAACTTGGCAGATACTACTAAAATAAAGAGGAAATACACTGTTACCTGGACTTTTACTTGACATTTATGATTTTTCTTTTTATACTAGATACTTAATAGCAAAAACCTAATATCTAAACTACCAATTCTAGAACCCATACCATCAAAATAGGCTATTTGTAGGTCAAATCTGAAATTTTTTTCATGGACCCCCGGACCCCCCTAGCAGGGATTCGCGCCTTCACCGCCTCGCCCTAACGTCCGTGCCGGAAAAACAGTTACCTGCTATTCATTGTCAAATTACCTGCTTTGCCAAAAGTTAACAAGAACCCTGTATTGCCATGGGTCGTCGTCCGTCGTACGTCCGTCCGTTCGTCCGTCCGTTCGTCAACATTTTGCCTACGGTCAACGATAACTCAGAACCGTTTGGCCACATGTTTGAAATTGGGTATAGTTGTTACTGCTATGCTCCCATATTAAACGTCCTATTTTGTGCAACGACGTGCTTTCGAGGCACGGCAATTTTTTGGCAAAGATGGGAATTGCCATTAGTCAGTTCAGGTTCAACGGATTTTGCTCATTTTGGGTATGTGAATGAATAAGGGCTAGTACTCTAGTAGCTCATGGTGGTTTAGTATGCAAATTTATGTCCAGACCTAAACTCTTCAAGAATCCACTAATTGAAGGTCCAGGAACAATATTTGGTTGGTAACACATTTCCCACTGACGGCGAAATATATTTTTGGGCCACGCCCTTTTCGAGCGAAGTACTACCATCCACCGTGACTGTATCTACAGAACCGTTGAACCTAGGAGGTTGCCCGACCACTCAAAATGTTCGCAATGGCCACATTATGGGGGGTCAGTAATACATTTTCATATCCAAAAGTCAATGGTTTTTAAGATAATTGCCAAAAATCGATTTCTGCCTGTTACGCACTACAATTATTCATAACTGTTCCTGTTCCTATTGTTAACCGTTACTGAAACCCTAACCCTAATCCTACAGAAGTACACAGATCGCGAGGAGGGCTCTTTTCCTAGCTTCATAGCAACAATGAGTGCACTCCAGGATCTACTGAAGTTTGATGTTACAAAGCCGGCATTTGTACCCATCCTTCCATATGTCGCAA